AAGAATTTAGATTAAAATGATACATGAACAGTGGAGGCTTGAATGTGTGATGAGAGAAGAAAAGAAAGTAAAAAGGCTTTGAAAAGCCGCAGAATATTTGAACTGCAAACTTGTGAACTAACTTGATGGCGAATGATCTGTCGCCATGGCAACGGCATTTGACGACACCCCTTAATACGCTTAGATGCGTTGATGGCTGCATCGTTACCAAACATGTGAAGTTTTGGGCTGTTCGGAGTATTTTCACTGAAGTTTTTTTGAAAACCGTTTTTCAAGGCGAGCATTGTGTTGACATGGCAACGGCATTTTGAAGAAGTCTCAAATCTGTCTCGTAGATGTTTTCATGGCTAGTACACATGTGAAGTTTGAGCCCTTTTTAAATATTTTCATAGGAGTTATAGCGACATCATGTTTTATGGCGAGGGATGCGTTTCCATGGAAACGGCATATGGTGAGATCTCAGATTTGGCGGAGAGCTGTTGAGGCATGGACCGGTGATATACAAGTGAAGATTGGGGGACGATTGGACCGTGTCGATGGGACTTACAGCCACATCGTGTTTCATGGCGAGTGGTCCGTCGCCATGGCAACGGCATTTGATGACACCCCATACTACGCTTAGATGCGTTGATGGCTGCATCGTTACCAAACCTGTGAAGTTCTAGGCTGTTTGGAGTATTTTCACTGAAGTTATGAGAAAACCGTGTTTCAAGGCGAGCATCGTGTTGCCATGGCAACGGCATTTGAAGAAATCTCAAAAGTGTCCCGTAGATGTCTTCACGGCTGGACTGTTTGCACACTGCTATCTGAAATCTGCTGCTCTGAGCATGTCAGTTGGAGTGATGACATCATCGTGTTCCATTACACAGGTGTTTATAGTTGAGCTAACAAGCTCTGTAGAGATCAAAGGCTTCATTGTTCTGAATGAGAGATAAACCTCTTACATGTGAACGTTTTGTGGAAGAACCGTAACAAATATCTTTGAAATTTCAAAACGTGAAGCATGTCAAGGAAGTTGAGTATCTGAAGTGTAATTTTTGTGTAGTTTCGGGTTAATAATGTGGCCTTTTTGGCAGTTTAACTAAAGGTGTGCGGCTGCTACCGTGAGGAAATATCTGCCTGAAATTACAATGGGGTTTAATGGAGGAATGTTGAACGTTTTTGTCACTTCAAAAAGCATTTTGTTTAATTATTTTGCTTAATAAATCACACACTCTAGTTAATGTTAAAATGTGAAGAAAACCTCTAAAACAAGGTCTGAACAATGTTTAATATCTCTAAAAGTAAGAATCAGATGTAAAAGTTGTTTTACACGAACAATTTCAGAAAGATGTGTAACATTTTAAAGTTGGAATGAGGTGTCTGAGTGAAAGTATGAATGAACAGTTAGCAGTTGAATTGCATGAAGATTTGTTAAAGTCTGAAGATTTTCTCCATTGACTTCAATGTTAAAAATAGTGATGTATTATGGGATGTATCTCTAAAATTATGAAAGTTATGAATGAGAAAAGTAATAGCCATCGATTCCCGACCAAGCTGAACGTTTTGATGTTTGAACGGAGTTTCTGCGATGTTCAATGCGGGAGGAGAAGAGGGCCAAAATACCGGCGGAATAATAAACTTTTCGTCCGTAGAACAACAGTTAGTTGGAATGCTGTTAACAGCATTCCCACTAAATAAGTTAAAAGTATTTAGAGAGCCTAACATTGGAGGTCCTTCTGCCTTCGAGATGCAGGTCAGGGCTGAATCCCTCAACACGCTGACAGGTATTTAAAAAATGTCTTGTTGTTTTGGGATTCATTGGAAAACAATATTCTAATTTACTTTTGTCCTGAAAATATTTTGTGTCTAAGACTAAATGTTATATCTAATGTGATTTTGTGTTTATCTTGCCTGAACAATGTTAAAGATGTGTGCAGACTGAACTTCATACATGTTTGAAATATGTTATTAAATCAGGTTTAACATTGTTTTCATCAGCATTGTATAAAAATAAACAAACGTGTTTCTGTACAACAGCATTATTTTTATTCAATCACTTCCTTCACATGAGAATAGTTCCATTTACCCTAAACAAAAATGTGAAGCCAGAACACAGAGCTTCAGGGACGGTCTCAGCAGTGTGTCCTCTGAAGTCCTCAGGATTCTGATATTTCTTTTGTTGAAATATATACCAACATTTGATTAGTTTTAAAGCAAAATGTACTACTGTTGTGTGAATAAAGGTTTGTAGACAGCTGCCAACATGTTGGTAGCTTTGTTTGATCTGTTCGACTGTTTTGGATCATAGTTCCTTCTCTTTCCTGCCGCTTGGACCTGCACTGGGGCAGGAGTGTTGAGTTGGTAGCAAACACAAGAAATACAATATGCAAAAGATACATGAGTGATACATCTACCTTGGGGTCCCTCAGGGGTCTATTCTGGGCCCCCTGCTATTTACTATACATTTCTACTGCAAAGTAATGTGTATGTTTTAAAATGTGCTATTTAAATACGGAGCGTTATTATTATTATAAATGAAGAGCTTTTTTAAGCAACATTCTCTGGAAATACAAATGTATATCCAGCAAATGTAATTTTTCTTTCCAAAACAAACCTGCCATGTGACAGCACTTATCTGTTCTGAGAATGACATGAAGTTGTTTATGATGAAATAAAAAGATTGATGACATTTTGATGAAAATTACATGAACAAGGGATGTGAACAATTTAAAAACTGGAATGTAAAGTTATTTATTTTCCTACTGCAGCCCCAGCGCTCCCCACATACGGAGTAAAGACTTTTTAAAATTGCTGAAGCCAGACTGATGTAACACGGAGGATACGGTGACCTCTTGGACACAAAACTTGTTATAAAGCTTTTTACAGTCGAAAAAAACATTTCAAAAGTGCATAAATGTGATCAGCATGGACTGACATGAACATAATGTAACAGATTTTCTGCAGGATCAACGTGTGCTTGCTTTAGTTTGTTGTGTTTGTGCTTTGTAAAGTTTTAAACCCACTTATGTTCAAGAATATATCAAACTGTCAAGTAAAGTGGAAGGAAAGACATTTGCAATATACAGCTGTTGCTCACAGGGACTATCTTGACTGATAGTTAAAGTAACAATTCAACATTTTCTTCATCATGCAGAAGAGGGATATCAGTACAGAGAGGATTTAAAAAGGGGGGGAAAGAAATAGAAAGTAAAACATTTTAATGAAATATAATTATCTTGTTTAACTTTCGGAAACCAGCAGTGGCACTACATCAGCAAGACCACGTGGGGCAGCGCTTAACCAAACCAACCAATTTAAAAACAGCAGCCTTGAACTAGCTCCATCAGGAGAGAGGAAACACACCCTTCAAGTCCGTCTGATCGGCATGAAACACAGAAAGCTTTTAGTATTGGTCCTGGCGAACAATGAAGAAACTTTAATTACAGCTGACAAAAGCAACGTAATTCATTTGTGTTATAAGTTTTCTATTGAAACTTGATGCCAAAAAAGTCCTTAAAGTGCTCAAAAGCTCCGTGAAGCCATATAATGGATCTCTACTTTAAACTCTGCTTTTTTTAAAAGAGCACTTCACATTGTCAGACTAATGAACGTCAATAAGTGTGTATTTTATTACACATACAATTTGCCAAACCTAGCGCCTACATTGCCCAAAATGCACCTCAATCTGCTTTTAAATGTTTGGGAGATTGTGGTGTGATGAAGATGAAACTAATGATGATTCCAGAAATGTCCCCATCTCTTTAAATGATATATACAGTTTGTCCAGCTATTTTTGCAAACGGATGTTGTCTCCAGAGAGCCTGACAGAAATGAAAACAAGAGTGGAAGGCCGGCTTGTGCTTGTGGAATTCATTGAAGCCATTTTGACTTTCCTGATGTTTTAAGAGCGTCTGCTGTTTGTCCTGCTGTCTGTCAGTGTATTAGAGTGGCTGTGCTGTTAATGTGTAGGGTAAAGACCTTTAGCTTGTATGTAGGCGTTCTTCTAATGATGAGCAGGAAGCAGAACCGACAGGGAACATCCTGTAGTTTGCGGTCACAGCCAGCAAGAATAGAATTATAATGGAATTGTTGCTCGTCCTGTTAGATAAAGGAATACTTCACTGTTTTCAGCCTTATCTGTAGCTGGTTAATGGCTGCATTTATGATCAATATGTGGTGTAAAGTCATGATGCAGCTAACCACAGGGTGTGGTCGCAGATATGAAAAAAGTAAACCAGGGCTCCCATCCTCTACTCAGGGCACCAACCAAACCACAGGACAGGACGCTGGGACAAGCTAAAGTGCGCCTTTTAGCGAGGTGACCATGATGCTTTTGTTTTTAAACCAAAATCACAAGAATAAAAGTATAAGAATTAATCTACTCTACTTTAGTTCTCTGTTACATACTTCCAAGCCAAGAGTTAGCATATTATTAGCTAGCTCCATTGTTTTGTGAGGTTACATAAAGCATCGGATAGAAAACACCTCTTCCAATCTCAGAACCATTATTTCTGTAATGTTATCTGGTCTCTGGTTTACTTATTCCTTCAACAATCTTTAATCCTCTAATCTTTGTACTGCGTCTGCTGCTCAACAATTTCCCACAGGAATAAATAAAGTTCTATCTTATTAACATTATGCTTCTACAAAAAGTTACATTCATGGCTTGGCCAAAGATACACAAAATAAAATCAGTGGAGTATTCCTCTATTATAATACGAGTGTAATGGTTGATGGGTCTGTATATGTAAGTGTTCACAGCCACACACACAATCCAGTTCGGTGCCAGGAGCATCCCAGAGGCCCTGGCATAAGGTAAAGATGGATGGGGGGCGGGGAATCTCTATGGGAGTTCGTTAGCAGACTCCCCCTCCTGTTTCCACATCTGTACAGCGAGTCCAGTGCCTGCTCTACATGATGCTGCACTTCCCCTTCAACTTGTCGGCTCTTTTCTGTTTCCCTGAGCGCTTGCCGTCGATGCTCAGGCTCATGTCCCTCTTCTTCTCCAGGGACAGCAGCTCCTGGAACAGTTCCTTCACGTTGGAGTTTGTCTTGGCCGATGTCTCCATGAAGGCACACTTCCAGGCTGCAGCCTGAGCCTCGGCCACCTTCGTGTCCACCTCGCGCTGAGCTGTCTCATCGCTTTTGTTGCCCACAAGCATGATGGGAATGGATTCCACCGTACCTTTGATGGCAAGGACCTGGAGGGAAATGTCATCAAGTCAAGAGAACATTTCCAGAGAACCTTTCTGATGCAGCTTTACAGCTTTCACAGTTGGTAAAAAAAACTAAAGAAAAAGAATAAACATGTTTTACTACTGCCGAGCTGAGACTAATACATAATATTTACTCTGGACTGAATATCAATGCTAATCTGCACGCAGAAAATAAGACCAAGTTCAGACAGAAGATATTTGATATCTATTTATCCTTTTGACAACTCTGAGGTTCCTCTAAGATTTGCTCATAAGAAATAACAAAACTTGTATTAAATATAAAGTTAAGGTAAAAGTACCCTTAAAAGAGCCTACATTAACTAAATAAAGACTAACCTGTTGGTATATGGGTTTCAACTCCTCCAGTGATTGGCGGCTGGTGATGGAGAACACTAGGATGAAGGCGTGGCCCTTAGAGATAGAAAGTCGCTGCATGGCGGGAAACTGGTGACTTCCTGTTGTGTCAGTAATCTGCAGCGTACAGACGCTCTTGTCACAGCTGATCACCTGCAGAGAGAACAGCTTCTAATCAATATTCGTAAAAGTGTGTTATTACAAGAGTTGAAGTGACACCAGAGAGACCTACCTGTCTGTACGTGTCCTCCACAGTGGGGATGTAGGTGTCTCTGAAGGTGCCTTTGACAAACCGAAGGACCAGCGAGCTCTTCCCCACTCCACCGGCTCCAAACACCACCACCCGGTAATCGTTACTCTGCTCAGGCATTCTGGGAGTTAAGGTCCGCCTGCTGCTCTGGATATCTGACTTTATGCTGGAGAGGAGGGGAGAAGAGGAGAAGTTGGATTATGGCAGAAATCTGGAAATGTTAAATCACACATCATTCAGTACAGAATGATTACTGAAGGATTAGCTCTTTGTATAAATATCATGTATGAATTTACGTTAATTAAGATTCTAGTTTATCACCATTTGTGGCAAATTAAGCAAATAAAATGAAAAATAATAGAAAAGTTGAAATCAGGTAATATTCTCAAAGCAGGGTTAAAAGGGAAAGCGAGAGGAGCATAAGCTTCTGATCACACTGTTGTGTCACACAGAGACACAACACAGAGTGAGGCAGGAACAGACAAACCATTTGAATGAAATTAGTCTAAGTGCCATCAACAGTAACTGGTCAATGAGAAACACTCTGCTGTATTCTGGGAGAGTCCTTCAGCTGGACACACAACCTGCTTCAAGTGCAGATCATCCCATCATAATAATCCACTGTTAGCACGCCCAGCAAACTATTTGTTTTAGCGATTATTAAAGGTTTAGAGAAATGCGCTACTGGAACCAGACATTTGTGGACAAGGGCAGAGGCGATAAGACATAACGGGATGTGGGACCAATGGATACCTGGAGCCCCCTTCGTCATGAGAGAGAGTTTGCTCTGAAATTAAGATGTGAGACCATTACTGAGACCACCAGGCTGATACACAGCGGCAGTGATCCTAGAGATGTGGGCAACAAATTGAAGCACATAGGCCATAAAGAGCAGTACCCTCCAGATATATCTGTAAGCTATCATCCTGTGCCACAGATTCAGGCTGATGGTAACCCACTAACCACACATTGTTGTGCTGGACAGTTGGCAGCTCTGATAGACATAGCAATCCGAAGCAAAAGGCCCAAAAGGTATCGTAAATACAAAGGGCTTAGAGAGGAGCTAGAGAAGATGTGGAAGGTAAAGCAGCATTGGTTCTGTGGTGGTCTGAGCACTGCAGTACCCCCAAACTGGGAAAGTTGTTCCAGAAAATCCCAGGAACAACATTCAAGATCTCAGTCCCAAAGAGCGCAGTCCTAGGAACAACTAAGATACTGAACCCTCAGAAGAGTGCAGTCCTAGGAACAGCTAAGATACTGAACCCTCAGAGGAGCGCAGTCCTAGGAACAGCTAAGATACTGAACCCTCAGAAGAGCTCAGTCCTAGGAACAGCTAAGATACTGAACCCTCAGAAGAGTCAGTCCTAGGAACAGCTAAGATACTGAACCCTCAGAGGAGCTCAGTCCTAGGAACAGCTAAGATACTGAACCCTCAGAAGAGCTCAGTCCTAGGAACAGCTAAGATACTGAACCCTCAGAAGAGCTCAGTCCTATGAACAGCTAAGATACTGAACCCTCAGTAGAGCGCAGTCCTAGGACCTGAGCCTGAAGGAGAACAACAGAGCACCCAGGATGGGCATTTATTTGAACATACATAAAAAAATGTAGAACTGTTGGCAGTAGAGCTGAATGATTTAAGGAAAATATATAACAGCAGTATTCAGTGCCAATATTGCCTATTGATTTACTGGTGTTGCTTATAAATTAAAACAAGGTCCCCAGATAATGCTGGTCTTCATTTCCTCAAAAAAACAGCAAGGTTTTGTCAAGCATGAACCCAATGACTTTTTAGTTGTATTTCAGATTTTATAGCTTTCTTGGTCATTGTTAATGTAATTATATCTGCAATTATTTTGGTGCTTTTTTTAAACTGCAATTTTGATAACAGAATAATAAACAATCGATCCTAGGTTGACATAGTATATTGTGTAGGTAATTCATTGTAAATGGGTTAAAACATGTACAAACTCTGATGGAGAATATCAATACTGTGTACATTGTGTTAGTCTTCTTCTTCTTTCTTCTCCCCCTCATCTTGTGCCTTTCTTCCTCCTATTCCTCATCTTTTTTCTTCTGTGTTTTTTACTCTTCTGAATCCTCCTGTTTCTTCTACTTCTCATTCTCTTCATCTTCCTTCTCCCCTTATCTTCTTCTTCTTCTTTTACTGTTTCTTCTGCTACTGTTAATCCTCTTCATCTTTCTCCTCCCCATTTCTTTTTTCTTCCTCCATCTTAGCTGTTTTAGGTGGCTTGTTTGTTGACAATCATAGGTCAATTATTAAAATCGAACCAGCTAGCTTCTGAGCTGCTATCTAAAGTTGCTTTGATACTATCCTTTTATCCTGTGTCATGCTATCAAAATGTCCTGACTGACATTATGCTGTGGCTGCAGGGACGGGCGTCTCCAGGAGAGGGACCAGATCCTGGTGATTAACGGCAGTCCTCTGGAGCCGGGGATCAGTCACCAGCAGGCCCTCGCCCTCCTGCAGCAGCCTGGAGAGACGGTGGAGCTGGTGGTGGCCAGGGACCGCCCACTCAACGCAGCATCATCACAACCATCTGCTTTCCATACGGTAAGTGTGAGGGAAACTTCTGAAGCAATGTAGACGAGACTCAGATGCTCCTTTCACACCAACGCGTTTTCAGCTCCGGCTCGGAAAATTTAGATACATAAAATAAAGTGTAGCAGCAGCTTGCGTTTCTCTTTGTTAACCGTTTCACATCATGACTTAACAGTTTCAGACGATTATAGAACATATCAGTCTTTACCAGTGCTTGAATTGGAATAAAAAAGGTGCCAGTACTCTAAATCAGCAACAAGTATTTGGCACAAAGTCATAGTATATCCTATAATGCTGGTGGGTTTGTCTCTTTACTGTATATTTTAGAAAGGCTCACTGTACTTAAACAAAATGACTCAGGGTGCATCTGAGATTAGAGAGGGTGCAGTGGTAAAAAATAGATATTTTTATAAGTGGGGAGTGGACCTGACACCCTCTAGTCTAGGGGGGTCCGGGGGCATGCTCCCCCGGGAACATTTTTTTTTAAATATTAAAGTTAGATGCATCAATCTGGTGCACTTTGAGAGCAAAATGAAGAGATATATGGATACCTCTCAACNGGGGTCCGGGGCTAGTGCCGTCCCCCGGGGACTACATTTTTTTTTAAATATTAAAGTTAGATGCATCAATCTGGTGCACTTTGAGAGCAAAATGAAGAGATATATGGATACCTCTCAACATCCATAATGAAACAACTGTAAACAGATTTACTTTTTCTTTATGGATATAAAAGAAAGTGAAGCTTGACTCCTACTGGCTGGTTAAATGACTCCTCGTCCCTGAGGCCACTACAATTTTTTTGTGCCATTTTGCTGGATTTATTTGTCAATAGCGTTGCTGCACAAAGTGATAGCCCTCTAGTTTAAATCTACTACCCAAAAAGAAACATATGGAGATGGGTTACTATTTAAAAAAAATTGCAAATCTATTTGGGAACTGTGGGGCTGGGCCTCAAATCCTATAGGGGGGTCCGGGGGCATGCTCCCCCGGTAAGATTTTTTTTAAATGTTGGACTTAAATGCATCAATCTGGTGCATTTTGAGGGGGAAATAAAGAGACTACACCCATATGAAACAAAAATGTATACATTTAAATAATCATAAAATCATAAGTACATGGCCATAACCAATAACATACAATATCCAATATGAAAAAACATTGAAACTTGTTTATTTATTTGTTTTTGGTTCATTTATAGTTGTGAGTGTGTCTGGGCTCCTGAATCGGCCTCTCCTGTCTCCCTCCTCTCCCCCCTGCTCCTCTTTGAGGCAACAGCAAAGACTAGTTTTAGCTCTCAACAAGTTTATCTTACCTTTTTTCACCTAGTTAACATTTTGTTTGTATTATTCATGCATATTTTACTAATCACTACCCCCTCAAATGGAANAGGTGCCATCAACCAGTAACTGGTCAATGAGAAACACTCTGCTGGGTATTTCTGGGAGAGTTCCTTCAGGCTGGAGCACCACAACCTGCTTTCAAGGCAGATCACTCCCATCATAATAATCCACGTTAGCCCACCGCCCAGCAAACTATTTTGTTTAGCGATTATTAAAGGTTAGAGAAAGCGTGCTACTGGAACCAGACCATTTGTGGACAAGGGCAGAGGCGATAAGACATAACGGGGATGTGGACCAATGGATACTGGTAGCCCCCTCGTCTATAGAGAGAGTTTGCTCTGAAATTAAGATGGAGACCATTACTGAGACCACCAGGCTGATACACAGCGGCACGTGATCCTAGAGATTGTGGGCCAACAAATTGAACAGCACATAGGCCATAAAGAGCATACCCTCCAGATTATATCTGTAAGCTGATCATCCGTGTGCCACAGATCAGGCTGAGGGTAAAGCCCACTAACCACACATTGTCATGTGCTGGACAGTTGCAGCTCTGAGTAGACATAGCAATCCGAAGGCAAAGGGCCCAAATTGGTATCGTAAATACAAAGCTTAGAGAGAGCTAGAGAAGAGTGTGGAAGGTAAAGGCCGCATTTGGTTCTGTGGTGGTCTGAGCACTTGCAGTACCATGGCCGCCCCCCAAACTGGGAAAGTTTTTCCCATGAAAAATCCCAGGAGACAAGCATTTCAAGATCTCAGTCCCAAAGAGCGCAGTCCTAGGAACAACTTAAAGATACTGAACCCTCACGAAGAGGTGCAGTCCTAGGAACAGCTAAGATACTGAACCCCAGAGGAGTTGCAGTTCACTAGGAACAGCTAAGATACTGAACCACTCAGAGAGTTGGCGAGTCTAGGAACAGCTAAGAGTACTGAACCCTTCAGAGGAGCGCATTACCCCCCATATGGAAAGGCTAGGATACTGAACCCTCAGAAAGAAGGGAGGCTTCATCCTAGGAACAGCTAGATAATGAACCCTCAGAGGAGCTCGGCGCGCAGTCCTATGGGAACAGCTAAGATTCTGAATCCTCAGAGGAGCTCAGTCCTAGGAACAGCTAAGATTACTTTGAACCCCTCAGAGGAGGCTCAGTCCTAGGAGCAGCGGAAGGGGATAACTGAAACCTCAGGAGCGTGCAGTCCTAGGAACAGCTAAGATACTGACCCTCAGAGGAGCGCAGACCTAGAACGGTTAGGATACTGACACCCTCAGAAGAGGCTCAGTTCCGTAGGAACAGCTAAGATACTGAACCCTCAGAAGAGTGCAGTCCTAGGAACAGCTAAGATACTGAACCCTCAGAAGAGTGCAGTCCTAGGAACAGCTAAGATACTGAACCCTCAGGCTCCAGGCCTCTGATGGAGGACCTGAGCCTGAAGGATAAGAACAGAGCACCCAGGATGGAGAGCATTGGGAATAATATATATATTTATATATTAATAATTAGTCTGCCTTCAAAGACACATTTCACAATACATGTACTTCTGATACTTCATCTCTTGATTTATCCAATCGTATGTGATCTGGGATGCTAACCCTGTTAATTGTATAAACACTGCACTTGACTACTCATATATTTATAGGTGCTTTGTTATATATTCTTTATTCATTTACAGTTCAGTTAAGCAGTTTAGTTCAGGTTAGCTTTATTTTAAAACACATTGGTAAATGTATTGACTTTTTGGTTACAGAACGCTTAACCCTGGTTAAGAAAGTACTTTCCTCACTTTACTTAACTTCCTATAAACTACTAGATTGCCTACAACTTTAAAATAAATTATATTATATATTCAGCTCAAACAGATGACAAATAATATGTGAATAAGAATGATAGGACGAATGCATATGATCATTTGTGTGTCTCCTATCTAACAGACAGTGAGAGATGAATCCTCCAGTGACATTTCAATGTTCAGTGACTGAAACACGTGAGGCAGCCTCGTCCTCTCCGAGCCCTCAGTGTATTCATAGATGACGTGAGGAACGAGAAGGAATTTAAAAAATGGAGCTAAGGCCTTGGGGAGTTACCCAGCAAGCCGAGCAGTATTCCCGACAGAATGACTAACGAGCATTGATTAGAGCTTTGCATCTCATTGAAGAGGAGCGCTGATAACAACCAAAACACTACAGAGGAGAGAAAGCACTACGCAGGAGTCCGTTCCTCCTGTGTCTCAAGTTTTCTGTGTTTAATGCTACAGCAAACTTCATTTCTCTGCAATAAATATCCCATCTACCCTTTTATTAATCTCACTGAGTTGACAGCCTCCTGCTACTCACAGATCCAGACTGTGGTTACGTCTGTGGAACAGGAGATACTATCACACCATCATGCTCTTCCTCCCACTGCTTCCTGCTGTATGAGCCAAGCTCTCAGTGTACAACCTCTACATAGCATCAGAGTACAAGAGTTCAAACTCAGCTCATCAAATTCACTTTTTACATTTAATAGTAAAAAGCATTTTGAAATGTATTCAGTGTATAATGTCTACACCTGCTTTTAATCTCCTTCAATATTTTAAATTGCTATCTTGCAGGGCTCTGTTTGTTCTCTTTGGCACCACCTTTGTCACTAAATGGTAATTCCAGGTTTGCTTTGCACTTCCCAGAAAGTCAAACATCGTTACCAATAGTAAGTGGGCTCCTGGGACTTGCTATCACTTTTTTCTTTTATTCAGCAAAACCAAACATTGGCTGGGCTTACAGAGTTTGGTAAAAAAAGGTCCCTTGACACACAAGTGAGCTGAAGGGCGATTCTGTTGCATTAGCTTCGCCTGTTGCGTCTGTGGTGGAACAACAACTGGGTGATGGAAAATACCCGACTAGATTTTCATTTAGTGTTCCAGAGGGATATTTGTTTTCACAGCTGGTACATGACAGACCATTAGCTGTAGGCCGCTTGTCTCCAGACAGCCTGCTCGTATTACTGCAAATCCAATGGCTTTCATGAATGGGCCTTATAGGCTTAATCTCTATTGTGTTACCTCATTCAGTGATATGTAGGACTTAAAATAATTTTTTTTAAGTTCAAATATTAGTTTAAGCCTTCTGTAAGATTAAAACCTGAGAAATAAAATGGCTATTATACACCTCATTCATGTGAGCCTTGAGCCCCCCCCCCCACCAACGTCAGTGCTCCTTATCTCAAACACAAGTTAAGACCAGTGACTGATCAGCAGCTTGTAAGTAAGTAAGTAAGTAAGTAAGTAAGTCAGTCAGTCAGTCAGTCAGTCAGTCAGTCAGTCAGTCAGTCAGTCAGTCAGTCAGTCAGTCAGTCAGTCAGTCAGTCAGTCAATCAATCAAACACACACACACACACACACACACACACACACACACACACACACACACACACACACACACACACACACACACACACACACACACACACACACACACACACACGATAGCATCCATTGTGTTACTGAATGTAACCATGGGAGCATCTGAATGTACTGTGTGTGGGTGTGTGTGTGAGTTGTCTGGTTGCCTTGGCGACATTGCTCGAAACAGAGGAAAGGAGAGACAGACAGCAGAGATTTATACACATGCAGACAAGTGCAAACATGTCATCATCGGCACGGCAGTTGTCATGGTTACCCGCCTTCCCACATCTTATTACG